GTTTTGTGGCGATAGTTTTGATTTTTGTTAAAATCGGAAAACACTTTTTTTGGGGGATCGGTTTTTAATTTTAATGTGCTGGTTAAATAGAAGTTTATTGTTGAATGATATTTTACGATTTTTTTTTATATAATCTGACATATTATGTGGGTACCGAAAAAAAAAAATGCGTACCTGTTATATTCTTATGATCTGAAAAATTCTAAAAGTATTAAATAAAAAAAAAAAAATTAAAATCTTTTTCGATTTTTTACTCTGCTACTTGAACTATAATATTGTCCTACCTCATAAAATCCAATAATATAGTATTATTAGAATAAAGTAACAAGGGATACATGAGGTCATAAGGGTTTGCCAAAGCAGAAAATGTGTGTAGCCCGAGGGCATGGAGGTATAATAATTTGGCAGGTCTTGGGGCTTGTCGAAGCTCTACGAAATTTATGACAACTTCAATCCCCGTCTTATTGCCTCGACCACTGATCCAGGTCTATATTTCATCCCCAATACTTATATGGTTGGCTTTTCTTCGGGACATAGTAATTTTTGAAGTTTATTCTAGTATATGTTGTAATATAACATTGTCTATATATTTTCACGAATTCCTGTGTATTGGTTCGTGTAATAATTTAATAAACAATGGAAAAATAGAACAGGGATATGATTGGTAGACATAAATGTTTCTTGACTTTACTTAATAGTAATGAAGTCCGTAAATTTTGCTGATTTCTCCCTTCTTAACTATATAATAAACATTAAAGAGGCCTCCATGGCTGCATCCATAATTTTTACGGACAATGACCGATTGGAAGAATGGAGGTCAAAAATCCTGCATGGAAGATTTTTTCAACAACTCCAACAAACTGAAATAGATAAAACATTCTCTACTATTCGGTTGGTAAAAGGGAATCTGTTTCCCGAGGCAGAGGGCTTTCTGATAACAATCCAAGATTAGGTCATAGCAACGAGGTCTTACTTGCGATATGTCTTGAAGTAACAGACAGTATCAGACAAGTGTAGGCTCTGTGCCAGCACGTTCGAGTCTATTCAGCACATAACTGACGGGTGCGGAGTCCTGGCTGGTACAGAATACCTCAAGAGGCATGACGATGTTACAAAAATTTATCATCAGGCAATTGGCTCTAAAAATAAAGTTAGTGAATGGTCCAATACCTTTTTATAAATACAACCCTAAAGAACTTATTCAGAAGGAAGGAATGGAATTGTATTGGAATAAATCTTTTATAACAGATCATATTGTGCTCCGTAACAGACCTGATATCGTGTTGATCGACAGTAGTATGAAAACAGCTGAGATAATAGATATCCCTGTACCGAATGATGGCAACACCAACTCAGTCTGCGCCGAAAAAATTCGGAAATATCAAACTCTTGCAGCTGATTTAAAAGATCTGTACAGACTGTACAAAGTGACAGTAAGAGCTCTAGTGATCCCTAGCAATGGGCTGATTCCAAAATCCACTGTAGAAGCTACCGAGAAGTTGTGCCTCTCAACAGCTACGATAAATGAAGCCCAGAAAGCTGTGCTGCTGAACACTGCGAGAATAGTATAGTAGTTAGAGAATAGTAAGGAGCTTCCTAAATATCCAATACAACTACAAAAATTAACGTGAAGTGGTTGAATTTAATTCTTCCCCACTCCAGGAAAATACCTTATTTTTAAAGTGATAAAAAATAAATAATAATAATAGGCTTAATCGTTTTTACAATGCTTTATCTCAATCGGGAATTAATTTGGAGGCCTCTAATAAATGGCTTAAGAAAGGATACCTATTTCCCGAAACTGAAGGGTTTATTTTGGCAATACTAAACCGGGTAATATCCACCAATACTTACAAAAAATATATATGTGAAAGAAATGTAACTGACGTCGCTTATGTAAAAATGCAATATTGTTTCAATCCAACATATTTCGTCGGGATGTCAATCGTTTGCAGGTAAAGAATATCTGATGAGACATTATAACCTGGCTAAAATTGTTCACGAAGCCGTCATCAAATAACATGATAACCTTATTATCGATATGAGCCCAAACCGGAGCTGTCAAAAGAAAAGAAAATAATATATTGGGATCGATCTATAATTACAGACCACACGGTAGTAAATAACAAACTGGACATTGCATTAATTGATCGGAAGAGACAAAGTGGGTATGTCATTGATATAGCAGTCTCAACCGATGATAATATCGAAAAGATTAGGAAATATCAGGACTCAGAGCTTCGGCAGCTTTACATACTGAATCAATTGCAGATATATCCAATTGTAATTTCCAGCAATGGCATAATCTCAGAAGATCCCATTCGCTCTGTCGAAAATTTGAAACTGCCAGAGAAAGTGTTGGAAGAAGGGCAAAAAGCAGTTTTCCTAGGCACAGCGAACATCGTCAGGAAGTTCTTAAACATAGTTTAACTTTTGAGCCTAACCCTTGACCTTGGTTCGGGTAGGTGAATATTTCTGGTAAAAGCCAAGAAAGTATCGAATTCGAAAATAATAATAATTCCTGCAGTATGGAATAGTCTCACAGGTGGATCTACAAGGAGGGGGGCTTTCAGACTGGACCCCTCCCCCCCAAAAATGGTAAAATGTAACCATGTCTTATGAAAAAAATATTTTAAAATGTCTCTAAAAATTTTTTTTTTCATGTAATTACATTTAATAGGACTTCAAGAGTCACTAAAACACCATTTCATATATGTAGATAGTTTCTTTCTTTTTCTTTCAAAGTAATTATAGTCATATATATATATATATATATATATATATATATATATATATATATATATATATATATATATATATATATATATAAAGTTTTTAGGCTAAGATCCCAAAATAAAATCCTTGATCCGCTAGTTAATAGGCTCTAATAGAGCCTGTAGGAGCGAGTATCACTGTCGGCAGTACTTTATTTGGAATTTAATTTTTTGTGAGACTATTTTATTTTATTTTTAAAGTGGAAACTACTTTTGGCGCGTTTTGGACTTTTTTTGTAGAGAATGAATTAGATTGATTCATCAGATTTCCAAAGTGTTAACGCTCAGGTAAAGTCGGCTAGACTCGACTAATTGAAACGATTTTTACATATGGATTAAAATATCTCAGAAATTAAAAATCGGGTCGAAAACAAAATTATAACGAGTTTTATTGAAGATATGGATTAAAATATCTCAAAAACCAGCAGTAAATGCAATTGGCTATTATGTCTTTGTTTACTGATGTTGCAAAACAATTTTGACATCAATCTCTCTACTCTGATGTCTAGTTGATGATAGGTCCAAAAATTATCCCTGATAGACTAGGTCCAAAATGCGAGATCATCTTCGGTACTAAAAATAATTAAATATATCTCTATATTAACTCTTTTGTAAATATTTGGAGAGTTAAAAAAAAAAATAATCCTACCTTATACGATAGAATGCTTCTCCTTGGACATTTCAAGCGATTTTCTTAAGTATTCCCAATCGCATTACGGTATCACAAAACAAGTACGCTATGCGAGAACGAAAGACTAGTGGCTATCCACAATCATCTGTTACGTAAATAACTGTGACCATGAGTTACCATGTTACAACATTCAAACCTTCGCCTGCGATCAAGTTAATTTTATAGCCCTGCCTCCAGGACTATTACAATCAAGAATACAAATGCATAATAATAATATTATTTCCCTTATATCAATTCCTATGTTAATTAGATGGCAGATTATATACATTACACTTTTTTGAGACGTAACTAATCGATAATTCCAGCTCCAGATCAGATCCGAGGCCCAATTAGCACGAGTAGGTAGAGTCTAGATTGGCCCGAGAACTGACAAAAGGAAAGCCGCTTAGAGACACTAGAACCGGGGTTACTTTATTGTTTTTATTAGGAGTCTCGCAGGGTTATTCATTTAGTCCCTGTCTCTGTTTATTGCATCGTGCCGGACCCTGGAATCTCTGGACTCTCCGGATTCCAGGGGGCTTTTCCTTTTACTTATTTTTGTTAATACTCCACCCGGGCCAACTCCGATCAAGGGTCCTAAGAGATATTTTAAAAACTATGTACACATAACGTTTAGAAACAGACTGGTGGATTGATTAAAAAATATATTTAATTATTATGAAGATTATTTTATCTATTTTAAAATAAATATTTAACTGCACTGAAACGCATGAAGCAATCATTTTATCTTTTTTTTTTGTCCCTCGTTGTTCTTGATGGTTATTTATATTCTGAAGAACAAATATCTGGAACTTCCTTTTTTGTCTTCGTTTGGTCTAACCTGATAACAGGGGGAAAGAAAGAGACAGTTCGAGTGAATTTAGATGTTTAACTGTTGAGTAAAATATGGTTTATTTGTGGATTTTACTTGTGTATATTCAAGTCGTTGTGTATGATGTGATTTGAATTAAACCAAGCCATTTACGATTTTTCGAGTATTTTTTTATGTTTAGAAGAATCTTTTTTTTTTTTTTTTTTATTATTTTAATGGAATTTACAAATGTATTACATAGAGAATACAATAAGTAAATGAGAAATTGGTAACATGGCATGTACAACATGAAGAGAAACTACCCATTGGTAGAACTCAAATTAAAGTTCTATATTAAAAGATCCCGAGGCCATCTTCTTTTCAGACGCCTCGGAGGGTTATCAGGGATCGAGGAGGAAGCAAGGTTTGAAACGAGAGGATTCGGGTGGTTCTGCAGTTTATTATGGAAGGAAAGGTATCTGGATTGGGCCAGATCGGAAACATATGGAACATTAAGATCTTTATGGATGATTTTATTTGTGACAAAGTAAGGAGCGTTGAGGATTTTACGAAGGATTTTGGATTGTAAGGATTGGATACGAGAGGAATTCGATGGTTTAGTGGAGCCCCAAAGCTCAATTCCGTAAGTCCAAATAGGTCTTATCGTTTGTCTAGTAAGTGCTGTCGTAGTCGAAGAAGAATCTTGAAGTTCTTCTCCTGGTGTCAAAATAGATCTTAATACTGCTTAGATTAGTCGCTTGTTTTTTAAGCTGACTGGTGGTCTGAAAATTAATATAAAAGTTTGACTAAGTATCTGCGCTTTGAAGATTTATTATAGAAAATAAACAATTTTTAAAAAAATCTACATATCTTAAGAATAAAAACGTGTGTATTTATAAATATCCCCACACATATTATTACTGTAAGGCTTGAAATCGGTTTTGTACCAAATATAAGCTCCTGTCATACTCAAATACCATGAATGGTGTACCGTTGGATTCAGAATTTCCCGGGAGGGGAGGGGATAAGCGAATCGTATTTTCCACTTTTGTTTTTCATTCTAAAATAAATAAAGTCGATACAAAATTTTTTCTAGGCTTCAATACTTTCACGGTGGTAGGTCTGTAGATCGATAGGGGACAAATTGGATCTTGAAGATTTTAATGTGTACAGCAAGACCCGGATAGTTCCTCTGGAACTATCGGATCCTGCGTTTTTAAGCACAAAAACGTACTATTTTCGAGATAACGCAAAGCATAGAGTCCGCATCCACACAACCTTACGTTAATTGTAGTACTGTTATTTAATACATGTCTCATTTCGTCGACTTGAGGTCTCTATGATCGAGAGAGGAGGTGTTTTTGATCGGCAAGCCATATCATCGTTAATTCTTCACCATATCTCAAGATTGAGCCACCAATTTCGAAGGCTTCCTTCTTCTTCAGGCGGCAAAATAGTCCAATCACACCGAGAATTCCGGCAAACAAGTTATGAAAGAAAACAAACTTTATTGGCGCATAACTAAAAAATTACATATTTTTCCCTTGGTTATGGCCATCATTATATAGAATTTACTAAATTCCCTACAAAATGAAAAAAAAAAATTCATCGAAATCGGACAATTTTTAGCAAAGATACAGCTTATTGAAATTTGTAAACATGTTGGTCCGAACAAAAATGAATATTTAAATTAATTTTTGTTTCCTTTGTCGATTATATTTATCGATAAAGTAATAATTGATTTTTTTATCTTTTGATACGTTGTATTATTTTATTTTCTTATTAATTTAGTACTTGATAACAGTATGCTGTACGAATTTTTCGCACGGGCTTATTAGTGATACAATATTGTTCATTTCGTAGATAACCAAAGTTCGGTCAGTATAAAAAGTTAACATATTGAGGCAAACAAAATAGAATAATTAATATAAGAAAAAATAAATGAAAGAGATAAAGAAAGTGAAAACTATTTAAGGTTAATGATTATACGAATTTTCCATAGACTGTAAGAAGCGGGGTAGTTCAGTGGATGAGCACTAACTTCCAGACCACAAGGTCCAGGTTCGAATCCGGCTGTTGGCTAGTAATCTTTCATCTGGAATTATAAAGTCGGTATTCTTAATTAAATAATTAATTAAGGGGGAAACCTGGCGGTTGAGCGTGATATTGGCCCGTCACGCCCTTGCACAACCTTGCAACAGTACTTCCTCACATTGTACTGAATCCATGACCTTCGTGAGTTGTTACTGGTACAGGTTTATTTAATTTTATTTATTTATTTAGAAATAGAAATAGAAATAGAAAATAAACTTTATTCTGCTACGATTTCCCCTTAGAATAACAATAATGAACACTTAAAAGAAAATACATATCTGGGCAAAATTTAACTTAATGAAGATTCAAACAATATATACAACAACTTAAATAATAGTATGTAAATTACTAAAAAATAAAATAAAATCTCCTGAACTATACTTATAATTTTACTAGAAAAAATAACAAAAAGAAAAAAAAAAGAATTTTATGTATAGAAAGAAAAAGCAAAACCTCCAGAAAAAAAAAAAATATATATCAACAGTATGTAAATAGAAAATATTGATTTATCTTAAAACCCAAACATCTAAAGCATACAAAATATATACATACATTAAAGATATATATATATATATATATATATATATATATATATATATATATATAGCATTTCCAAGTCAATTTCAACCTTTTCCAAGTCAAATTCAACCTTTTCCAAATCAAATTAAACTTTTTCCAAGTCAAATTCAACCTTTTCCATTTCAAATTAAACCTTTTCCATTTCAAATTCAACCTTTTTTTATTTATTTAATTATCTTTAATTTTTCGATGCGTGGGTCTGTTATCGTATGAGTAGTTTTTTAAAATAACCTCCTTTTTAAGATTACGTGACTGCGTTTCGAATTATTTAAGTTTTTTTTACTTATTCGATATAAGGGTGTATTTTTATGTTTCCCGATCAGTAAATTTTTAAAATGACATCTATTTTATGTTTACGCTACTGTGTTTTGATTTATTTAAGTTTTTAGAATTTATCCAATATAAAGGTCTACTTTTTTGTTTCCGGAGCCGTAGATTTTGAAAACGACCTCCATTTTAAGATTAGGCCACCGCGTTTCGACTTATTTGAGTTTTTCGGATATTTTTCATATGAGGGTGTATTTTTATGTTTCCGGAGCTGTAGATTTGGAAAATGACCTCCATTTTAAGATTAGGCCACCGCGTTTCGACTTATTTGAGTTTTTCGGATATTTTTCATATGAGGGTGTATTTTTATGTATCCGGAGCTGTAGATTTTAAAAATGACCTCCATTTTAAGATTAGGCCACCGCGTTTCGACTTATTTGAGTTTTTCAGATATTTTTCATATGAGGGTGTATTTTTATGTTTCCGGAGCTGTAGATTTTGAAAATGACCTCCATTTTATGATTACGCCACTGCGTTTTGACTTATTTAAGTTTTTCGAATTTATCCAATATTAAGGTCTACTTTTATGTTTCTTGAGCCGTAGATTTTGAAAATGACATCCATTTAATGATGACGCCATTGCATTTTGACTTATTTAAGTTTTTCGAATTTATCCAATTTAAAGGTCTACTTTTATGTTTTCGGAACCGTAGATTCTGAAAATGACCTCTATTTTATGATTACGCAACTGCGTTTCAACTTATTTAAATTTTTAGAATTTAACAAGTATAAAGGTCTAATTTTATGTTTCTGGAGCAGTAGATTTCCCCTATTTTGTAAATGACCCAATTTAAAGTTTATGCCACTCTTTTGGATTATAAAAGTTTTTTTTTTACTTTTTCGGTATAAGGATCTACTTATATGTTATCCGAGACGTATTGAAATTTTTCTAATCTTTAATATTTAAATTTATCTAATATTTAAGCTCCATTTTATGATTAAGCCGCTGCATCTTGATTAATTAGGCTTCATTTTGGATTTTTTCAATACAAAGTTTCATCAATATGTTTTCGAGTATGAATAAATAAATAAATATTATGAAGCTAAAGTAAAATTAACCACAGAATACAAACTAAAAGCCGAAAAGCAACTGGTAATATATTTAACCTTCCGTATTCAGATTTTTCAGCTAATTGTTCGAAATCTTATAATTTTGTGATAGGAGACCACAAAATTAAAAAAGATAACTAAAATTAAATTAAAAATGAGACAATACATATTTTATTTATTTTGATTAGATATTTTTATTTATTTATTAAAAAATAAATTAATCCTTCGTATTATGTTTTTTATTCGAAGGAAAAAGCAAAAACACTTAACAAAACCGAAACACAGTGGCCTAATCTTAAAATGGAGGTCATTTTCAAAATCTACGACTCCGGAAACATAAGAATACACTCTTTTATGATAAAAATTCGAAACACTTAAAGAAATCGAAACGCTTTGGCCTAATCTTAAAATGGAGGTCATTTTCAAAATCTACAGCTCCGGAAACATAAAAATACACCCTCATATGAAAAATATCCGAAAAACTCAAATAAGTCGAAACGCGGTGGCCTAATCTTATAATGAAGGTCGTTTTCAAAATCTACGGCTCCGGAAACATAAAAGTAGACCTTTATATTGGATAAATTCTATAAACTTAAATAAGTCAAAACACAGTGGCGTAAACATAAAATAGATGTCATTTTCAAAATTTACTGATCGGGAAACATAAAAATACACCCACATATCGAATTTGTCAAAAAAACTTAAATGATTCGAAACGCAGTCACGTAATCTTAAAATGGAGGTTATTTTCAAAACTAGGTACAGGACAGCATAATACTAGTCCCTAAGAAATCCGAATAGGTACAATAAATCGATATCCGTAAGTGAAAATTCTACTTAGGAGAGCATAATAATAGACTTTCATATTGGAGGGAGGGAGGGGATGGCCATTATTTAAAAAAAAAATATAAAATTTACAAAAACTTAAAACATTAATTTGAAATGAAAACGGTTGAATTTGAATTGGAAAAGGTTTAATTTGAAATGGAAATGGTTGAATTGACTTGGAAAAAGTTTAATTTGATTTGGAAAAGGTTGAATTTGACTTGGAAAAGGTTGAATTTGACTTGGAAATAATTGAATATCACATAGAAATATCACACTGAAAAAATCTAAAATGTTAAAATAAATGGATATGCAACTGCGTAATCAAATTTTTTTTTGTATTTTTTAAAAGCTATGCCGTCGATAATATAGTAAGTGGCCTTCATTTCGAAAAAAATCGAAAATTGACAAAAATTCTAAAGTTGAATTTGAAATGGAAAAGGTTGAATTTGACTTGGAAAAGGTTGAATTTGAAATGGAAAAGGTTTAATTTGACTTGGAAAAGGTTGAATTTGATTTGGAAAAGGTTGAAATTGACTTGGAAATGCTATATATTCTTTTTTTGTTTATTGATAAATATTACAATCTGTCTCAATAAAGGACATTTATAATAGAGTTCTGAGAGCACATTTACACCATATTTACAAATTAATAAATAAAAATAAGCTAATTTCAAATAATGTAAAGCTATAAAAGAACAAAATAAAATATCATAGTGAAGGAAGAAAATATAAATAATAGTAATAATAGAATGAAAATAAATGAATAAAATAGAATTAAAATTATCTTAAAAAAAAAAATTAATGAAAATAAACATCTTAGATGCAGGCATACCTATTTACACTATTTACAGTCGGCCATGGGAACTCTGAACCATACTTATCCCCCCACATGTGGAGGGAAAGCGAGGCTTCAGGAGATCCCTGCGCTTCTTCCTCAACCATTTCACTGGTATTAAAAGCCAGCGGAGATTGAGTAAGCGCGCTACAACCACGGACAATCATGACTTAAGTGGAGAATCTGGCTATTGCCAGAACTCCAACATATACATGTTACAAAAGGTCACGGGGCCACTGCCGAAAGATATATTAATGACAAAAGATGACCAAAGGGATCAAAATATTATATCATCCCGCCATAAGAGATATAAAATAAGAATAAATAGATAAATACAATTAGGAAGGGGTATTAAATTAATTTGATGAGAAAACAATTGCGACAAAAAAAAAATGATTTAAACAAAATAAATAATTTAAATATGTCATACAATATGCAATGGTATTTTAAACTATAAAAAAACACGGATATTAATATAGGAAAAGATGTATATGTATACAAATTGAGGAATGTAAGAAATGAAATAAGTCTAAAATGTACACAATCTTGTAGATGGAAAAAAAGAAAAATGGATAAAAACAACAAACTATCTCTTGTTTTTTATGCATCACCTCACAAAGCTATGCCAAAAGTGATACTGAATCTTTCCAATTCACAAATAATGAACAAAAAATAAAATAATGGTGTATGAAAAAAATTGATCCTTGTTACATGATACATAATTAACCAGCGTCTGATTGTATTGTGAAGGGAAATTGGAATATGAGGGTTTTGAAGGTGGATAAGGATGGTGCATGGTGTATTTTAACTGGGATGGAATTCCAAAAGGTGGAGGAGCGGACAATAAAGAAATGTTGAAATGATTTACTTATTTTACATAGACTGTACCAATCGTTTAATTAAAATAACAATTAATTTTATTGTCGATTTTTTATACTTCTTTTATATATTTTTTTTACTTCTGAATCACTACTAATTTTCCGGATAAGCAATCCAGAACTGTATTTCTATAGGACCAGGGAGTGAGGAAGAACCGCCTGTCATGGGTAACATAAATCGAAAAGAAAAGGGGAGAAAAGGAAATATCCAAAGGGAAGAGGGAAACAAGGTAAACTCTAGGGAAAAAGTAAAGTAAATTAAGAAATAAATCAGAGATAAAGGCATCATTTGATATGTTGAAGAAGAAATTGCTTTGAGTTTGCTACCCAGCCGGCATGACGGTAACCAACCCAGAACCAATTCATTTCTAGCCATTCCGATTCCAAGCGATTCAAATAGGATTATATTGTCAGTTCCCAACGGAATATATAACATAACATCAAAGTGGTCCATCATTCCTTACCATAATACTATTATACAATATATATGTATATATATATATTGAATTTGATATAATCATATGTACTTTTTTTTTTTTTTTATTAGGCACTCATTAAAAAGTCTGCGGTGTCCACTCACATGACTTTCCTACCTATTTCAGAAAAGTATTTATATCCTCATATGTGTCCATCAAGAAAAAAAAAAATAAAATAAATTAGATTTATTTTCCTGAAAATTAATCAAAGAATTTGAATACGATTTATTTGATAGACTAAAGCAATGTAATCCGACTTAAGGTAGATCAGTGTAAAATTTTCAATGTTCTCTAATATTGTTGATCAAAAACATTTTGCTATAGCCTAATTTTGTCAAACAATAATTTCTGTTAAATTTAGCACAAATAGTGAAGATTGTGTGATGCGGGCAACAGATTTTCTTGCTTTCACTTAGTTATCTTTTTTCTATAGTTCAACCTTTTCTGAAACCAGGATATGAACCCGTAATCTAACATTAGAAATTGAATAGCTGTAACTTCGTTAAAAGTTGTCCAAAATGAACGATTTTTATATAGTTTTGTAGGGGATTTCATTACCTTTTAAAAAATCAGACTAAACTAAACTACCTAGTAAATAAGTAGAAAAGTAATAAATTAAAACATGTGTAGAAAATAGAATAAGCTGTATCATCGCTAATACTGGTTCCAATGTTTTCTTTTGTTTGGTTGGTAATTTAATTGTCTTTCAAAAGTTCTATTATAAATTTAACCATAGAATATATACTTAGCGACTTAGGTCCCAACATACTTTTCTTCTGGGATCTGAAAGGTATAGATTCGTCGATAACCACATATCGGAAATTTGACCCGATCGCAATACTTTCCTTGCTTAGTATAGGTAGGAAAGTAAAAAGGATAATTAATACGTCAGCTTGGATATTCTTCTAACTATAAATGTGCCATTACTGTTTAGTGTTTTATTATATAACACTATAAAAAAATATTAGGGGAACCGGAAAGAAATGCCGTTTTTGAGCATGTCATTATTTATTGTCGTTTGGCAGAAAATTGTGCAGAAAAATATTTAGTCGCAAAGACATTCTATGATTATATTGACTTCTTTACCTGCAAATATTTAAATTAAATACTTTTTTGTAATTTTTGCTGAAATGGCCAGCCTAATACCATAAGAGATATTTATCCGCGAATGCATGATTTTTGAGTTTCGTAAGCATAGTAAAGCAACAGTCGCTACAAAAAACATTTGCGATGTTCATCCAAACGCACTAATACTTTCGTAAATGCCAAATATGGTTTTTCAACTTCAAATCCAGTAATTTTGATCTTCCTGTCTCGTATCGATCAGGAAGACTAACAACGTTAGGCATTGACGTGTTAAGGTCGGAAGTCAAAGTAAACCCCTGGCAGACAATCAAGGCATTGTCAGAATGTCTTGATCTACGTTGGTCGACCATCCGAGAACATTTGCAGCAGATTGGGAATGCATCACATGGAATTTATTGCGAGAACTGTAAATTATAGTAGCGTTTTTTGATCGCTCGATCACTAGAGATGAAAAATGGGTCCTGTATGATAATCAAAAACTCAAAATGCAGTGAATTGGCCAGGTTTACACCCCGAAAAGGCCATTTTGTATGTTTGGGGGAGTGTTCCCGTCGTTGCTCATTTTGAAGTGGTAAAACCTGGACGAACTGTCAATGCAGACTTTTATTGTGAACAATTGAATCGTGTAAATCAATTTTCAAATGAACAATAAAAATATCTTTTTATCTATTTTCAATAAAAACAAAAAATATATATGAAAATACGAACCGAGTGTTTTCTATTGTTATGTAATTAATGAGTTTTCTCAATCATATTTCTCACAATATTAATAATAATTCTTAGTTTGAGTTGTTATTAAAATCTATTAAATATAAGAAAATTAGGTCGAATCCATCTGGCCTAAGCCTATTCTGGTACGTTGGATTGATAGGCTTAAAGAGGGGCTTGGGTACAATAAGCCATCAAGTCTGGAAAAAAGCATGCTGCTAAAAATAGATCGAAGTTTTGAGGATTATATTAATTAGAGAAAGCGCACCAGTGATGGATGTAGCTAAGGGAATTGTTCTATTTTTGGTTTATGCCGCCATAATTATTATATTTATAAACTTCTCCGTTGGACATTTAGATTCTCTTCTTAAGGTCTTATTTTTCTACTTAAAAAACATTAAAATTGAAAAAATATTCAATTATGTAAGTATAATCTGAATGGGATAACCATACGTTTCCACACTTCCGTAATAAATCTTGTGGTAATGTTTCATCAAAACCTGACCTGGAATAATCACATTTCCCAAATTAACCGAAGGTCCATTGCTACCCTCAAACAGACTTTCCGTGAATCTATGCCCCTTACAATCCGTCAGCTCTTAGTTTTCTCTCTCATTTTCCCTCACTTTGATTATGGCTGCCTTGTATACGGTGGACTTGAGATCAGATTAAAGAGGTTAATGAATTGTTTCTTTAGACTTATACTTGGATTCCCCAGGCACTCCCACGTCTCCAGTTGCTGTGCCGAATATATATATATTTTTTTTTTAACTTTTATTATGATATTTACAACTGTATTAGTATGAATACATCAAGTAAATGTGTACAGAGGAATAAAATAACATGAAACGCGCTTGTTGAGAAACTACCCATTGGTAGCACTCTAATAGTTTGTCTAGATGAGGAGATCACGAGGCCATCTTCTTTTCAGACGCCTCAGAGGTTTATCAGGAATCGAAGAGGAAGCAAGGTTAGAAACAAGAGGATTCGGATGGTTATGAAGTTTATTATGGAAGGATAGGTATCTGGATTCGGCCAAATCGGAAACATATGGAACATTGAGGTTATGCCGAATTGAAGTGGCTCTATCCTGTTTTTCGGCGGCAATATTTCCTAGGTGTATTCCTTTTCCAAACCTTTACAACCAAAAAACTTCTTACCTTCTTGATTTCTTTACTCCTTGTTTTTCCGTTCATTCGTTCAACACGAGATCCCAATCATCAAATTTGTTGATTCCTTCTCATAGAACTGTTTAAAAAATCCTTCGCCATACGTGTTACCTCGTTTTGGAATTCCCTACCAACCTATTTAACCCCTAACCACATTTAAACATAATTTATTTTCCACCTTCTCAGTAATCAATCTTCCGAATATATGTAAAATAAAATCATTTTGTACTTTATAGATGTCAGTTACAATATACCTATATCTTGCAGATATCTATGTATGTGTCATATGGCTTATTTGTACAGATACGTGAACTCACCCATATGTAATCATCTTTATATTCATATGTCTACTTCAGGAACAGCTGTTGATGTTAAATAAGGTGAAAGGTTAATTTAGTTTTGTCTTCCAAAAAATGTGTTAATTAAGTGTACATACTTAATTTTTGTGTAATAAAAGTGTTTTATCAAGACAAGATTGCTAAGGACGAAACACCAAACAAAAATTGAGCGGATTTCACCGTCAACAATGGTGGAATCATCTCAAACTGAGGTAAGTAACATGAACTTTAAAAACAGTGATATAAACAATGAAGACGGCTCCTGGGAACTGGTTATTGGTCGTAAAAGACCTATGATAGATTCGAGCGAGCCAAGAGCTCAAAAACGACCGACAGAATCTATCCCAACCTCGAACAGTTTTCAGGTTCTAACCAACATAACTAATTTACAAACAGAAAAAGTTAGAAGAACGCCTCAAAACGATAAAACTCCACCAATTTTTATAAACGGTGTTGAGAATTACCATGCATTAATCTCATTTCTAGAAAACGAAACGGGTCCTAATATGTTT